AGTGATGTTTGAAAAGCATTAGGTAGAAATAACTATTAATTATTAGCATTTTCCTCTCAGTTTAACTTAGCATCTAGGGCCTAACAAGCAAAACAAAAGTTTACTTTTTTCAATTTCTTAATTTCTTGGTTTTTTCATCTTAAATTTTTCTTCCCACCTTCTCCTTAACCCAAAGTTTGCTGTACAAATACCTCATGATTCTCGTGGCCAAGAAGACTGGAAAGAACTTTGAGCACACGTTTTGGAAACCTTGCACACGATTTCTTCCCTGCAAAGGGAAAAAACAAATATGCTTGGAAATTATAACAGATCAGAGCAAGCTGCTTACTTTTTACAATCAGTACTAAATGTAATTTATACAGAGCAATACTGCTCCTTGTCTCTGCCAAATGCTGCTCAGCATAACTGAGCTGAAGTCAGTGGAGTTAAACTGGATTTATACAACCATAACTTTGTACAGGATGCAACACTAAGGGATCTTAAAAAGTTGAACAAAGATATTATTTTGCTTATGGCAAGCAATTTTTCACCCTTAATTTCCTTTTTAAAAGGAAACTTATTTTAAACTTCTTTTAAGTCTGTGCATTGTAGGAGTGAAGCATGCAAGTATTTCACACCACAGGGTGAAGGTTATGCTCCTTGCCACTATGGATCAACTCAGTTCTGAAACTGTTTTATACAAACAAATCTCATACACAGGTAAAAAGTGTCCTTTAAAAAGTGGGCCTGGAATGTAGGAACGGCAGTTTTCACATACAGATATGAAAAAATCATAACATCTTAAAGGGTTCTATTGATGAACTGTTTTCTTAATTCTTTAGATTTTGGTCAAGCTAACCTCCCTAGGCTGGGATTCTTGGGAAAGAGATCTGCTCAAAAGCATTGGTGAGAACACTCAAATATCTCTGGTCATGTGAGTCCCTGCGACTAATTATAGTCACTTGAAAGAATCCAGGTGTATCAGGGGAATGAAAAAAAATGATTCACATCTTCCCTATCCATTTATTGGAATAAGGTTGTAATTCAAATATAAGACACCTGCACTCCGCAGACAGAGATTCATTAACAAGGCCATAGAATATTCCAGTGTGTAATCAGACAGGCAATCTATATCTGTTAGAAGATCAACCAGCCAGGAAATGAGCCCATCTTCAATCATTGCTGACTGCAGAGCACGCCTAGGATTAAAAACCAAAACCCCACAAAAATCAGACCACATCATAAATAGCTTTCAAATACATCTACAGCTAATATAAGAACATAAAAAACCTACTTAATACACCTGCCATACACCAGCTTGCCATAAAAAAAACCCTTAACATCTCCAAAACTACCCATTTTGGTGGAATCAATTAAAAGAAGGAATTAACAAATCCTGAAGAAACTGAAGATGCAGATTCTCATAGCATTAGAGGACTGAAACATTGTTGGGTAGGTTGGTGTTTTTGTGTTTTGTTTGTTTTTTAAACCTGCAAACTGCTGAGGTAGGTTTCTTCATTGTCTTCTAAGGCTTCTAACCCTACTTAAAACTACGTTTTCTATTGTCTTTAAATTGGTTAAAAAAGCCAGCTACAATCAACAGACCCATAAAACAAATGGATTACTTCTGCCACAGGTAGCCATAGCACTATAGCACTTTTGTATTGTTCATTTGACAAATGAGATTTTTGCTTAAATCTATTTGCTTTTTGCTGTAGAGATTCTTAAATCATGTATTCTCATAACTCAATCCACAGATGTCCTCAAAGAATATACTGTATAAAGTGCCAGGTGCTGTGATCTCCTACACCAGCAATTTTGTGCTTTACCATACAAAAAACTGTAATCTATAGTGGTAGAAAGGTCTTGTTGAAGAACACAATTTTTAATCAAATGGGCAGTAAGTCTAAATTGCAAAGATCAAAACAGATATTTTCCTGCTCTTAGTACTTGGGATTTGTATTACTCCTGAAAGCTCATATACTTTCTTGGTCCTGGATCTTGCAGTAGGTCTATGGGATGGACTGAGCAAAATAAGGGACCATCTGAGAGAACATCAAAAAATATAAATTTTCAGTAGCTTAGTGCCTAGGCCCCAAAATTCAAACTAGCTTGTACTATCAACAACTGCTTGAATAGAAAAATAATTTCCTCTAAGATTGATTTAGGATTGCAAGCAGTAGGGTATGAAGATTTACTCTCTTTCATCTCAAATATGTATAAGGTTATCATGGCAGGAAGCAGTCCAGAATCTTACCCAAAGCACATGCACATGCTATTTAACCAGACAAGTTCTAAATGAGGCAAATTCAAAAGCAGCCCTCATTCTTGAACAAGCTGAAACAAATAAAAATAAAAAAGCCCCAACACTTACAGTCTTAATTTAGAAGAAATATTAATGAAAATAACAAGAGCTAAACACAACCATCTACCTCCTTATATTTAGCTAACTATTCAGGGCTGAATATTCCTCCTGAGTACTGTGAAAACAAGTGTTCCTAGATCATATTTCTTTGGTAAATGGGAGCAACATCATGCTCTTTACTACTTTTGCATGATATTTCTCTTATGGTGGGCATTTGAGTCAGACTGCTAATGCAAAAGTAAGAAACAAGACAGCCCATACATAGACAGCTCCAGGAAAGAGGGTCAACAGGATGAGGACAAAATCCCTGAAAAATGTTTGCAGAAAGGATAACGAAAACCTTATGCTTTGGAATGTAACACAACTCTTTTTTTCTGTGTAGGATCTCCAGAACTTTCTACATTAAGATTCTGACTTTGTTCAATTAAGGAATGCCTGTAAAGCACAGGAGGCTATCACAGATGTGCAGTGACTTGGGTATTGACAGCTGGTAAAAAGTCAGGTTAATTCAGCCAGCACATCCGAGTTCTCCTTCATAAAAAATGACAGTTTTCATCAGTCATCAGAGGTTCTGATGATTGCTACGGGAAAGTCAAGTGCTCTTCTTTCCTCTCTGAACAGAGCCTAACCAGCCTACGTTTCCTCTCCTGCTGTCACCACTGTGTGCTGTGCTTTCATCACCTGAGGCTGAATTTCTGCAGAGCTGCCAGAACATTCCTCCATGTAAGGGAATCCTTGTCTTCAGCTTTCAGTCTCTCCTCCAGCATTTGCAGCAACATTGGATTCTGAGAAAGGTAGACACGACCTGGTGCAAAAAGCGATGAGAGAACAGATGCCAAGATATCAGCTTATGACAGAACGGCTCCCCCACCTTAGAAAACTAAGCAGGATTGACCAGTTTCTTCTTGACAAGTCACAACCTTTTGCCAACACCCAACCTGCACAAATGAGTTGTCTAGCAGACCAGTTGCATTCAATCCCGTTACCTGGGGCATTAGAGGCCCCCACTTGCCAAGTTAGTAACAAACAGAATCCATTATCCCTGTTTCAGTACAAGCTTGCTGATCTATTACAGTTTTGTGTACTTTAGGAAAAGAAGAGATGTCCAAAGAGCTCAAGCAAGTTAGATGCCCTATGGCTGCTGACTTTGAATGGGACTCCAGTTCCTAGCAATAGTTAGCTCCTTAAGTAGCACCAAACCAAGGGCTAATCTGGGACAAGCAAAGACACAAAGCTGCATATATATGCAACCAAACAGCAGTGAGGTGCAGGTTAATTCAGGTGAGGACCAGGAAGGTGCAAGAGCAGCTGCACTAACCACTGTTACACAACGTGGCAGCAGGTCTGCCTACATGACCTTAACATTAATAGGGAATTTTTTTTTTCATTATTTTTTAACTTGCTTGAAGAGACTGAAGCCTACATTAAAGGCAGCATCTCATAGACCACAAACCATCAAAAGTAGTCAGAAATTATGAATATAGAGTGTAAAAAGGAAAGCTTTGCAGATACTGAAAAAATGTTTTGAATACATGTAACAAAAGACAATTAATCCCTAGAAAAAGGGTGCAAATAAGGCTCTAAATTTCCACATGCACTTGTGAAGTACCTCTAAGCCAGCTTTATATGAAAATGTTTTGGTTTATTCTTTTTGCAACAAGTCTCTTACCTTCTGACAATGAAGTAAAAGCATTGATGAGTCTTGCTGTGTACTGTCTGACTATGTTACTTTTAGAACAAAATAATTTAAAGACACTTCCCTGAAAAAGAAACCAACATGAATAAAACCTCACCAAAGCAGCATAAAATGAAGTTAGCCTTCTATAATGTTATAAAAGGGTCATTAAATTTTCTCAGCAAACCAACTTGGAATGCATATTGATATTTTAAATAATGACAATATGATTTAAGATTTCCACATTCCTTTTTTTATTTACAAGGTGCTGAGGGAGAAATGGAAAATGAACAAGTAAGCTAATTAAGCTCATTGGCTCAGTCTGTTAAAACACCATTAAGCTCCATGGTGCAGGGTGAGAATTATAATGAACCAACACAGTTACCAGTTAAAGCTGAGAGCTAAAATCAGTATTTAGTCAGGGACTAAAAAAAAAAATTAAAAACATCTGTTAACTTTGTTGATGAACTAAAACGCAGTAATGCTACCTGAATAGAAACACTTTTGTTTGACAACTAAGAGTGTGGAAAAGCAGCTCAGTAACTTATCAAGAACACCACAATGCAAATTATTTTCAATCTGTTTCACTTCAGGTGCTGCTTTCACATAACTTTCCTCTTACAGGAATTTACAGGGAGAAAAAACAGTCAGTGATTTAATAGTCCTTTAACTTTTCTGGTGACTTTACTGTTGCAATGACAAAAGGTGGAGGAAATCACTTTCCAGCTGACCTGACAGTTGCTGTGGCAGTCGAGGAGGTCATGGTTGATGTAGGCTTGCAGGACAGTGTCCCTCTGTTCTCCAGGATATGATTTTGTCAAGCGCTGCAATATATAAGAACATAAATAAACCAGTCAAATAAATAAATGATAATGTGAATTGATGACCACTGAAGATTTAAAAAGGTGCTGATACCCCACAGCTGAGAAATCTTTTCTCATGGGGAGAAGAAATTAAACCTCAGTGATCTAAAAAAAAACCTGACCTCAGCTCAGTGATCCAATACAAAACCGTTACTTGGGAGCTGTCATCACTGTTCACAGAGGAAGGATAAAGCACTATTTCCCATGAAGTTAAAAAACCCCTCAAATAGCTACAGATGTGCTGCTTTTCCAAAACATCTCAGACAGAGTACAGGGCTAGGAGAACCACTAGTCAGGTCCAACGAATGTTTTTTAATGTGCAAATGGACACTGAAGCTTGATCGGAATTCCACTATTACCATCTTACATGTCTGTCACTTTGAACCCATCAGCTTCCTTTTCAG